TATTAGCAGAGCACCAGCGAGCCATCCTCCATCAGCTGAAGACCACCACGATAATAGGCCAAAAAGCGTGCTGAGAACTGCTAGTGGCAACTGCATCACAGTCGCCCGCTTGTAACTTGGTGTCCACTGAGAAAAGGCAACAAGGGCGCCGCAACTCATTCGTGCGGGATGCTCAACGAGGCTAATGTAAATTGCCGCTCCAGAAAACACACACACACAAGTTAGGACTGCCTAAAAATTGATAACTTTGCGTAGAATGCTCTTCAAGTAGGCTTTAGATTGTTATTAACCACAAAAAGCGTTTTGGATGATCAACAGACCAGCTGACAATATACCGTGAACTGCGAAGACACACACCCTTTCCTTTCCTGTATTACGAAAGCCTTCCCCCGCTGTCTTAGATTTTCGAATCCGCGGTAATCAATTTGAGGCTCCATCAAATTTGAGGGACAAACAAAAATCAATGGTGGTGATCGAATTTGTCTTGGGGTTCTCTTTTGGACAAATACTATCCGTAGATAATAATTGACTCCCCTACAACCTTTGAATAGCTGATAACCAGTTCTTCAAATGGCAAACATAGAACCTTTGACAGAAGAAATCAAGCCAGCAGATGTTGATGATGCCTATAGTTTCGACCCTTTTGCGCTGATAGATGTAACTTGTGATAATAAGACTGAGCAACAATCGTCTACTCTGAGGCCAGAAGTTTCCCTCAAGTTTGAAGACCTCTGTGTGAGTGTTAATGAGAAGAATTTTTGGAAGAAACTTCCAGGCGAAAAGAAAATCTTGCAAGATATAGCAGGAACGGTTCGTTCTGGCCAACTCCTTGTTATTATGGGTCCTTCAGGCTCTGGGAAGACGACCTTGTTGAACGCACTTGCAGGAAGACTGTCTGCATCAGGAAATTTTAACGCAACTGGGACAATAACGGTGAACGGAATGAAAAGGAATCCAGCTACTTTCAAGAAAGTGCGGCAACTATTCTTCTAAGATGTTTTTACGCTCACCAACTTTTTAGATAAGTGCATACGTTATGCAGGACGAAAATATGTTTGCAAATTTGACTGTTGAAGAGCAAATTTCCATTTCCGGTAAGTTACGACTTTCGAGAACTTTTTCGGAGCAAGAGAAAAGACGTCGTATCGAAGACGTAATTTCTGAGATGGGTCTGATGGAGACAAAAGAACATTTATCGGTTCAGAAAACAGGCGAGGTGTTAGTGGTGGGGAAAGGAAACGAGTGAGCATTGGTAAAGAATTGGTAACAGACCCTTCTTTACTGTTTTTGGANGGTTAGTTATTTTGATCTGTTCGTCTTTACATCCTCAAAACCCTGTATGACAGAACCGACTTCCGGACTGGATTCATTCAACGCGAAAATGTCGTTAAAACGTTGGTTCGTTTATCGAAGGATCATCGTGCCGTCGTGATGACAGTTCATCAACCGGGAAGCAATATATTCAATCTTTTTGATATGCTATTGTTGCTTTCGAAAGGAAAAATAATGTATTTTGGACCAGCAAAGAAAGCGGTCTTATATTTCTCTCTTTTGGGATACGAGTGAGTTTTTTCCGCAAATACCCGTAGTCTATTCAGGGAACTTCGAAACAGGTGTCCAAGTCATTCTAATCCCGCAGACTATTTCTTGGATCTAATTGCGGTGGATATTCGTTCATCTAAGCTAGAACAGGATTCACTTTCCCGTATTGCATTTCTTCATAAAGCATACAACGAAAATGTATCTCTACAAAACAGAATCAGAGAAAAAGGTGCGTAGAAGTGCATATTTGATTTTTATTCTCAACTTTTAAAAAATGAAATTCTTATTGGAAAGAGGCCACATGGGAAAGCACAGAAGATTCGAACGGAATGAACGAGAATGAAACTTGGGAGAAGCATCCTTATCCGTATTGGATGGAATTTTCTGTTTTATTGATTCGTGCATGGAAACTTCTTATTCGCGAAAGAGTTGTTGCTGGAATTCGTACAGTCCAAACCTTGGTGGGATATCTTATTTATCATCTTCTATATCTATGTACATTTTGTATTGACTCTGCTTTTCTTTGAATAGATTTTTTCGATACTAGTTGGTCTCATTTGGCTTAACAAAGGGCGAAATATCTCCTCCAGCAACTATGAAGGTATAGAAGGTGTATTATTTTACATTCTTATCATTCAAAGTTTCATGGCAATATTTGGAATAATATTTGCATTTCCACTGGAACGTTCGATTGTTTTGAGAGAGCGTGCTAGTGGCATGTATCGAGTGTCCGCTTATTACCTTTCAAAGATACTGGTGGAGCTTCCTCGAACAATTTTGTTTTGTTTGCTATTCTGCGTTGTGGTAGGAATATATCTTTCAAGGGCGAAATTTGTGCTAACCTTTGAAGTCATATTGGATGATTGGCCTTCGAGATTCCGTAGACTCTTTTTTTCTTTTTGTTGTTGTCATGCTTTTGAATTCATTGACCGTCGAAGGAATTGCTTTGACTGTTTCTGTATGTGGATTTAATGTTTTGAAGACACTTTTCATGAATGTTTTAGGCAGCAGCACCAACACCGAAGGTAGCTGCAGTAACCGTACCACTTATTTTAAATATAGCTGTTCTTTTTGGAGGTGCTTTGTTATCAAACGCAGAGATACCGAATCATTTTGTTTGGTTAAAATTTTCATCTTTTATGAAATATTCATATGGGGCATTGATGCAAAACCAGTTTGTCGATTTTGCGTTTCAGAGCCTTAGTAAGACTTGCGTCATTTGCGACGGGAATGAAGTTCTTGAAGATTCTGGAATCACCGATTTCTCCATGGCGGGAAATATTGGAGTAAGAGAATGCCTCTCAGTTTCGTACTATCATAAATTTTCTATGAACAGATGCTGCTAATGGAATTGTTAGTCTTTCGAATAGCGGCATATTTGGTTCTACGAATGAGAGGTCCCAAACACGACAAAGCCTTGTGAGCGTTGAAATGCAGTCGGATAGGTATCCTCTGATTGGTTGGAATTGCCTTTTTATTATAAAGGCAAATGTCCCATTATTGTTTTGTTTTTGTTTCCTTCTTTGTTCTTTGTACTGATGGTGCTTATTTGGTATGGTATCAAAGGTTGAAAGCTTTTGAAATAACTTTTTAAAAAAGGTAGCAATGATAACAACAAAAATATTTGAGATAGAAATCACAATTCTATCAGGGGGCGACTATCATTTTGTGTTGAGCATATGCAGCCTCACTCATTCTTTTCAAACTATTACGCTCTCACTTGTTATATTATTTGCGTCATTCTGTCAAATCTTAAAGGTTACCACTTACTTTGCTCCCATCACGCAAGCCCTCAGCACATAATCCAAGTTTCGCAGAGAGATACAGTCATTTCAAGTAAGAAATATAAATGTCTTCTTCCGAAAGTGGATTAATTTCACAGTAAATTTTTTTTCTCTTAGGCTTTTTATGTTTATGCCCATCCAATGGACAAGCGATGGTGTCCAGCTACAGAGTTTTAAAAGTCCACGTTCCGATGATGAAATGAATGATTGCATAGTGTATGTCAAACACAAAGACATCCATACTTTTACCGACGCTGAACGGACAATCTTTGATAAGAATAATATTGGCAGATGGATCAAACTTGACTTCCCTTTTCTTGGAAGAAACAGCTCCAACTTTTTCATCAATAATGAAAGGATTAATACTTCTTGCGTGATTACCTCCGATACGATTTGAACAGAAGGGAACTTGAATAAATGTTGTACCTCCTCCAGATGGAAAGTCGATGGCTGCATACTCTTTTTCCATGGCATGAAAAACCATCTTAGAATTTAGTGTCCAATAAGCTTTCTTCATTCCATCCTCCATCAGCGAAATTCACAAAAATTTTATTAGTGACAGTGAGCTATGCGGGATGTTTTCTGGAAAAGGTCTATACCAACAACGTTAGTTCCGTAGATATTACGAACGACGCGAAATTCAGTATAATCTAATTCAGTTTTCTTCAGGAATAATTCTCATAAAAAGAA